CCCCCTCGTCGGGGCTTTTAGCCCCCACTGTCGGGCAGATCCTGGCGCCATTAGTGGCCTACGTTAGGTGATGAACTTAAAATTAAATAATACAGTAATGCATTTGTGCACACATAGGCCTACACAAATATATCCCTCCCTACTCAATCAACTAACCCCTTTTTTCAAATTTGACCCGCACGTAATGGGCCAAAATAAAACAAACAATTTTATACAAATAAAAATGTAGTGAAATAAGATAAAATAATCGGATCATGGACAAAAGAAAAGTTTTCTTTTCTCCATGATCGGATCATTAATTGAAAAAGGAGCTATTCGCACGATACCAAGGATGCAAATATGCTTACGGGTCATAAACTATTGTGCGATTAAGATAGAGAGAAAAAAAAAACAACTGTTCGAGTTAATTTATCATTAATTTAAAAAAAAAATCACTTAAAGCATTCTGTATAGGCTACTGTACTGAAATTAGTAAAAATAAATTAATATAGGCCTAATTAAGTTTGCATTGTCACAAAAATGAATACCAAAAAAATCATAAAAATTATTTTTTAAATTAACTTGCTCATTTCGACGTGGTAACACGACCAACTTGAACATAGAAGTTCATGAATTACAAAAAGTTAACCCATACTTAATATTTAAAAAAAATGATATAAATAGGCCTACTAACTGAATTGTCATTTTTATGGGGCAAATACACTTTCCCACATTCCGGGTCCGTTGATGACGTTAACTTTCTTCACATTTCAGCAGGGGCGGCGCTAGTGGGGGTCGGGCAAAGAAGGCGTCGGGGACGTCTAGACCCTCCTGTCAGGGAATTTCCAGCTAGGTCGCAGTAGTGGACGGTGGCGCCAGGATTTGCCCGACCTGGGGTCTGAGGTCCCCTTTGTCCCCGACGAAAAAAAGTGGGCGTGGTTTGGCGTCGCTCAAAACTCTCAAAAGTGTTCCAGGGGGCGAAGCCCCGAAAAATATGACATTTTAGGGGTTTAAAAGGTTTTGGGGTCTACTAATATCTAGAAAATACACGTAGTTAATTGTTAAGGCTAAAAAAAGGACTACCGGTATATAATTATTAGACAATGTACAAAAATATATTTTACTTGGTTCAGATTTGTTAATACCAAACTAGGCTGCCAGTTGTCTGATGACCACCATAGGGCGCGAAACTAAAGCCGGGCACTCACTGCGTTGTACGACGGTCGTACGACCGTCGCACGACGAACATACATCTGCTTCCGGCGAGCGATAGGCGACGCAACGCCGTCTGCTGATTGTCAGTGGCAGTCTGAACGGATCCTCATTAAAAAGGCGATCCGTTGGGTCCGAGCCTTCGTGTGCGTTTGTCGTTGCGTTGCCGTCGAGCGTAGTGAGTACCCGGCTTAAGAGAAACAACCAAGCCACAAGAAACCACTGCGGAATATAAATAAATAAATAAAATAAATAAATAAATAAATAAATAAATAAATAAATAAATAAATAAATAAATAAATAAATAAATAAATAAATAAATAAATAAATAAATAAATAAATAAATAAATAAATAAATAAATAAATAAATAAATAAATAAATAAATAAATAAATAAATAAATAAATAAATAAATAAATAAATAAATAAATAAATAAATAAATAAATAAATAAATAAATAAATAAATAAATAAATAAATAAATAAATAAATAAATAAATAAATAAATAAATAAATAAATAAATAAATAAATAAATAAATAAATAAATAAATAAATAAATAAATAAATAAATAAATAAATAAATAAATAAATAAATAAATAAATAAATAAATAAATAAATAAATAAATAAATAAATAAATAAATAAATAAATAAATAAATAAATAAATAAATAAATAAATAAATAAATAAATAAATAAATAAATAAATAAATAAATAAATAAATAAATAAATAAATAAATAAATAAATAAATAAATAAATAAATAAATAAATAAATAAATAAATAAATAAATAAATAAATAAATAAATAAATAAATAAATAAATAAATAAATAAATAAATAAATAAATAAATAAATAAATAAATAAATAAATAAATAAATAAATAAATAAATAAATAAATAAATAAATAAATAAATAAATAAATAAATAAATAAATAAATAAATAAATAAATAAATAAATAAATAAATAAATAAATAAATAAATAAATAAATAAATAAATAAATAAATAAATAAATAAATAAATAAATAAATAAATAAATAAATAAATAAATAAATAAATAAATAAATAAATAAATAAATAAATAAATAAATAAATAAATAAATAAATAAATAAATAAATAAATAAATAAATAAATAAATAAATAAATAAATAAATAAATAAATAAATAAATAAATAAATAAATAAATAAATAAATAAATAAATAAATAAATAAATAAATAAATAAATAAATAAATAAATAAATAAATAAATAAATAAATAAATAAATAAATAAATAAATAAATAAATAAATAAATAAATAAATAAATAAATAAATAAATAAATAAATAAATAAATAAATAAATAAATAAATAAATAAATAAATAAATAAATAAATAAATAAATAAATAAATAAATAAATAAATAAATAAATAAATAAATAAATAAATAAATAAATAAATAAATAAATAAATAAATAAATAAATAAATAAATAAATAAATAAATAAATAAATAAATAAATAAATAAATAAATAAATAAATAAATAAATAAATAAATAAATAAATAAATAAATAAATAAATAAATAAATAAATAAATAAATAAATAAATAAATAAATAAATAAATAAATAAATAAATAAATAAATAAATAAATAAATAAATAAATAAATAAATAAATAAATAAATAAATAAATAAATAAATAAATAAATAAATAAATAAATAAATAAATAAATAAATAAATAAATAAATAAATAAATAAATAAATAAATAAATAAATAAATAAATAAATAAATAAATAAATAAATAAATAAATAAATAAATAAATAAATAAATAAATAAATAAATAAATAAATAAATAAATAAATAAATAAATAAATAAATAAATAAATAAATAAATAAATAAATAAATAAATAAATAAATAAATAAATAAATAAATAAATAAATAAATAAATAAATAAATAAATAAATAAATAAATAAATAAATAAATAAATAAATAAATAAATAAATAAATAAATAAATAAATAAATAAATAATCTTTTTGGAGTTAATGTTACTCCCTTTGGGGAGTAAAAATATGAGAGTAAATATTACTCCAGAAAAGGAGTCGTTCTGTACCTTTTTTATTAACTCCACTTTTGGAGTTAAATTGACTCCTTAAAATTAACAGTGCAATGTGACGATGAAATAATGAATCATTTTTAATGACAATCCGTTCAGACTACCGCCAACAATAAGCGAAAGCATTGCTTCGTCAAATGCTGACAAAGAGCAGAGATGGATTCCAGGGATCTCCAAAGCACATTACACAAAGAACATACATTCAATAAATCCATCAACCAATATAGTTATCTTCAATGTTAATGCTATTATTTATTCATTCTTTATACTGTGTAATCTGTACACAAAATAAATAGTAATTATTTATAATTATCAATCATATTAATAAAAATATTTAATTTTGGAGAGACAAGGCGGTGGAAGGCGTAAATTTCCATTGTTTTTGTGGCCAAAATAAAATTTAATTTTTATTCAAAATCATTATTGTCGGGTGGCGGGTTTGCTAAACAAGGTATAAAAAAGTCGCCTTTTACGTATCATTTAATTTAAATTAACTTTATAGTTGAAAATTATCTGAAATAGAAAATAGGTACTACCGATACCTATTATACTAGTGACAATAACATAACTGGAGCGAGACCCTCGGATAATTTTCCCTGTTGCAGGCTCTATATAGGCCTACTTCGACAATGTGACTTTTCAATTTTTTGTAACCTTGACCATTGAATTTTTCAACAATAAAATTAAATCAACATCTTCTTTAGTTCAATCGCTCTAATATATGTTATGATCCATTACACTGCTAACAGAAAACTTGTAGTCACGTCACACAGACACACAACGACAGACAGCTAAGATTCAATGACAACAAACAGCCTGTGATTTATCAGATTAAATTCTTTTATTTATCATAAAAACATACAAACATATCCTTCAACAGACGTATGCATTATTATATATGCAATATTTTAATAATACTTTTTGTTTTCATTTACTTCAATACAAATCATAATACTATAGCATTATATTATTATTATTATTTTTTTATTATGTATTTTTCGCAGGCATTTGGGGATCGTACAGAGCATTCAGTACTTAATGACGTCAGGTAAGGCAAATATCGATTCGTATTAGGCCTATAGCAATATAACAGACCGGTATTTATACGATATGAGTGTGTGTTACAAGTTGAGACCACCGAATTAATGTTTTGGTGTTTTTTTTTAATTGACTGCGTGTTCTGGTTTATCCATCGTTTATTTCTCCATTAATCCCATCTCTTTCTTGTTTTTCCGTTCCGATATTTCTTTCACCAGTGCATCCTTAAAAGATACCCAGGCCCTAGCGTCGTGAATTTTAGCCAATGTCTCATTAGATGGAGGAAAATTGATTGCCTATTAAAATAAAATCATATATTGTGAAAATTATTAGGTCACTCTAAATAATCATAATGTACACAAATCTAATACACAGATTCGATATTAATAAATTCCCACCCTTTATACGTGAGTATTATTCAACCCCGTTGCTAGACTCGTTGATCGGGGATGGGGCATTAAACTGAGGGGGAAAAACACTAGAATGGACACGCCCAACTCAGTCCAACCACAGTTGACTTAACAAAATCATTGTTTTTCAAAGTGTCTTAATTAGACAGTATTGCTAACGTTATATTTTAAATACATCAAATAGGCCTATGAGAGAAAGGAAAATACAGGACAGGCTACCACAACAAAAGCCCACCATGCTTAAGGCTGAGGCGAAAAAAATTAATGACAACAGCACTATATGCTCTGAAATTGTTCTTAGGCTAAAAATAATTATTCTAAATTGTCTTAATTTGACATTATGTCGTTAAATGTTTCAAAAAAGCTGTTGTGAATTTTGGGAGGAAATATTGAGGGGTAAGTAGGCCTACCAAGTGAGACGAAAGATCCAGACAGCTTGTAAACGTTTTCCAAATGGTCTTAAAGTGACAGTATTTTCATACACATTTTTTTTTTACATTATGAAAAAATTGCTAGAATCTTTTTTGGAAATGTACTGACATTTTGATATTTGTACATCAACGTATGCTACCTAGGAGGATGGGAATGCACTGGCACTATTCCGAGATTATTCCGGCCACATCCATAACAAACAATATCCATAAATTAAAACATCCTAAGAATACCATAGAAAGCAATTGACTATAAAACAATAACCAACAGAAATAAAACTCTCCTTGTACAACATTCCAGTTATTTCCTAGTCTAAGTTTGGGGCCAGAATAATGATGAAAATGAATACGTATCTAGTCGAGGTTGTATTAGGCATTGGCCTATAGGTTCATATACATTATTTAAAGAAAAAGTATTTGTTGTTCATTTGTTGTTATATATTCTATACTCAATTATCACAGTTGATTTTACAAGAGGGGTGGGGGTGATTTAACAGGGGGCTGTCCCCGGTCCCTGCCCATTCGCCGGGGCTGGTATTATTCTTGTCCCTGTTCTGATTGGCCAGTTGTTAAATTGTTGGCCACTCCAGAAACATACGTATTTTGTTAGAAGGTATTCAAATCATAAAGTACAGTACTGTAAACGTTACTGGCTCCGCCTACTTCGATATATGCAAAAATGCAAATGTGTGATTCGCATTAAACTGTCCGATTCTGCCATGGAAAACGTATGACATATTAGCTGAGTTTGCATACATTTCTTAGGTCATACGTTGAAATTTGAATGATTCTCGTTATCATTATTGCCTAGAAATAAATGAAATAAAATAAATTATAACCTACCAGTGTACTTGTGTTCTGCAACATCTTTATGTTGTTCTCGTTTTTAAAGAACTTCTTCGAGACAAGTATGCAGTCAGCGCCCTCACTAACCAGGCTTAAGTTGTTTTTAGTTTTCTTAAATACAGTTTCTAACCCCTAAAAAATAAATCACGTGTCAATTATCTTTTGAAAATAATCAAAAACGATTCATAAGGCCTATCGCACCAATTTCGTATTTGGCTGTAAAAAAGTAAACATACATAACTTACAAAAACTGAACCAGCGTCGAGTTCTGCTATTCGTGCAAAGGTTGATATGCAATCTTTTTTCTGTCTCCCCCGTTTTTCTGTGTTGTAATGCAATGCATTAGGTTGCATCTGAAAATATAGAATGAAGAACTAAATTTGTTATTTTGATGTAGGTCGATACTGCATGCATTGTATGGTATTGTATTTGGGCTGCCCACCCCCAATCTTTCCCAATTGAAAATGCCCGAAGCAAAAAAAAATCAGGCGCAAGTAGTTAAAAATCTCAAATCACTATATTTTGCGCCCCTCACTTAATCATCGAGTCCCTACTCACTATCCCCTTCAGCACCAGCCCCATTTCAAAGTCTTCCCCTCTCCCTTGGTAGAAAAATCTCGGACCCTCCTTTTCAGATATTTTCCCCGTGTATCTTGGTCTACCTCACTTTCTCGCTCACTTACAAATTCTTCACACTTTGTTTTACCTCTCTAGCTGCTAGGCTACTGGTCGTAAGGCCTGCCCGCTTCCATGTCCGTTGGATACCGTCACAATTAGGCTTCGACTTATCTAAGAGGGAAACATGGACATAAACAATGCATATATTAGCAAATACCGTATAAATAACAATTTTCGGTCGATACTTGCTGTACCTAGTAGCCCGGTATGTAGCCAGTACCGTAAACCATGGATTTAAATGATAAAATGATTTCGAAAAGATAAAATAGCTGACCACTTGAAATTAATATCAGAGTACTTTTTAAACTATTGACATTTTCAGTCAATAAAGCTATACTGGTTACCAGTTTCTTTCTGAGAAGTTATACGAAAATTAACAAATAATGTTTTGTGTTTTTAAAAAATATTTACTTACAATACAATATTTATTGGATTACACAGCTTTCATAACAGAGGCACACGTTAGACAAAACCTAACGGTGCATCCGAAAAAGAACAAAATGTAAGCAACGAAAATATAAAAACTTAACAGTTTAGTATAAGACCAACAATTTGAATCGATATTATGTTACCTTGGTCACATTCAGCTTTCTGAGGTGAATGGATAAATATTTTGGGAATATCATGTCTTTCCAATTTTTCAAATAATGAAGAACGATTCAGCTTCCCCTGTAAAATAAATAGGCCTACGAATTGTTTAATGTTAAATAAAACCACATAGAACAGGTATTTTTGTAAAACATATCAACTATTTATCACTAAGAAGTTGCATCTTATGAAAATAAAACGAGTTATATATATATTATTATAAAATAAAGGAGTTACAATTATGCAACCACAATAACTGAACAGTACTCACCTTCTTTGTCTCTTCCAATAACGACACTGATGAAAGATAATAAAGAATAAAGCAATTTGAAATCGGGTATATCATGTGGTGGGCAGCGGTGGCGCCAGAAATTTGCCTACAAGGTGTCCGGCATGTCCGACGGAGTGGTCCGAGCCAAGGGGGCCGATGGACCCTCGGTCGACGGCCCTGAATGAAAACTCCCTTGTAAGGGTTCACGGGGACAGTTTTTATGGCTTACTATCGTCAAAAATGAGCTTTTATACCACAATATTAGGTATTGGCAGTCAAAATAATTATTTGGATAGGCAAATTATTTTTTTTGATCCGACGACCTATAGTCGTGAGTCGGACGACAGGGGATCAAGGCCTGTCCGACGGGGAGGGGGATTCCTACACCCTACTAGCGCCACCAGTGGTGGTGGGTGGGGATAAGTGTGAGCAAATTTAGATGGTGCTTTCTGGAGAACCAGGTGATAAAAGGTGATTTTAATACATGCGGGCGCAATTTCTCCTTGCGCTTCACATTCCACCCTTGGATAAGCCACTTGTTGAACGAGATAACAGAGGCAGGATATAATAAAAACTGTCGATTGATTGATGATTGATTGATGATTGATTGATTGGTCGGTCGAATAATCGGTCTTTCGGTTGAATTTGCATGGTTATCATTATCAAAAAAGTACCAGCTCAGTGTGCGACATTTCATATTACATTACTAACATTATGTTTCACGTATTACCTCGTCGCGTTTATCTGTTCATTCATTTACACTTGACATTTTTCACTTAAAAAAATCTTACAAATTATTAATGCTGTGTTGAGTATAAGCATAATAGCTTAATGATTAAGTATGTATTTAAGACAGTGTCATTGTGTATGAGCAACACCTAAAAGTTGGTACTAGTTAATTTGTAACTACTGTATAATTAAAGAGTTTAATCTTACTACTCCTCCTCAGGGCGGCAGTGGCTTTCCAATCCTCTTCTAATTCATTGCGTTTCCTTCTGCTGGGCCTACCTGAATATGGTCGTTTGGTAGATTCTACTAATTCCGCAATCACTCTGCATTTTCCCTAATAAATAGACAATCGTAATTTTAAGCATCCCATTGAAATAAATTGTATGTGTGGCATGTGACCAATGACGTCAGGGACGCCTGGGATGGGGCGGTATTACAGAATTCATAGCTTATTATACATTTAAAAAAGTTGTTAATTAAATTATTTATAGTTGATAATTACATTTTTGTTGATAATGATAGAACATTTCGAGCGTACCGGCTGAAATTCCTGTCACAGGTCGAAAGAGGGGAAGATTATAAAACCATGGGCGCAGATCTGCTTTAATAGGTGGCGGGACAGTCGTGAGTTCACACTCAAAACAAAAATTAGGAAATAGTACGGTACATTTAGAAGGCCAAAAATGACACTCTTATATAGGCCTATAGTAAAATTCATCATCATCACATCACCATTATAGTCAAAATGAAGCGCCAACAAATTGCTCGTGATCGTTTATCATAAACATTTTTAACACTTCATCGCAATGTAACATAGAGTACAAACTTTAAAGGTGACCAAACATTTCGATTTTCGGCAATCAGAAATCTAATTAATATCTGTGACGTAGAAAAGAAAGCAAAACTTAAAAACTGTCTTTGATGTATTTCCTTTACTTTACCTACTTCAAAGCTACGGTGAATGTGCCGAAAACCAATCTTATCATTTACACGCTTTTTCTCGTACTTCTAAAATTATAATAAAGGCACGCGCACTCGAGTCGTGTATTATAGGTAATTCAGATGTTTGTGTGCAGAGATACCAGTATCTTGCTATAAGATGTACTCTGGCAACCCTTTTTGTTAAAACCTGGGTCATTAATTGTGTAGTTCATTTCACAATTTTCAAGCATCATCTTGACTTGTCGAAAAGTGGGGTAACCACCCACCCCCACCCCATTACAAATATGTAGTGTGCCCAGGGATAACAGCCAACTTACCGATCTGATGATGGCAATGTGACCAGCTTCGCTTACATTGTGTATAACAACTGTTTCTGGCCTAGGTAAAAAAATTAAATACAAAATGTGTTACCTTCATAGGCCAATACCGTACAGTGTCATTATTGATCTATAAAATAAAATCGCCAAGAGGTGGTCTAATAAGTCTATTCCAAAACCCAATGGGACTACCAGGGCTTTCGGTATCCCGAGATAGGCCTATATAAGGAACTTTTATTACCATAATTTGAGGCGGAATATTAATATTATTTTCCGACGAACTTAAGTGGCGTCTAACGTCAGAGGGATCCATGCTTATCCAGTGGGAGCTGAGACGATCTTCCTTCCCACCACAGTAGGATACGTTATAATGTAAGAAATTCCCATACAGGAAAATGTCCCAGCCATTCGACATCGCTAATCACCATCACTTCTCGTAAACACTTGATGACTTACTTATAGTATTTGCAGGTGAGACCACCATGGTTCGATCTTAATTTCTCCACTGGAAACCCCAAGAAAACCTCTTGCGATTTACAGAAATCGATAAGTTCCTCGCGATCTTTTTCCAGGGGTTCACGAATTATTTTCTGAAAATCCTAAAAGAAAACAGAAATACTTTTCAAGTGTGTCATGTTATTATTATACCTCCCGTTGCTTGACGCTAACATTATTTGTGATGGAAACACTCAACATGTTTTAACAGAGAACGCTGGGTGGAGATGTAGTGTGGTGTTTAAGATGCTTGCCTTCTAATCACAGGGTCCTTGGTTCAAATCTTGTGACAGCAAAGGAGATATCTTTGTTCTTTTGAGAGTGTGTTTAATATTTGAGAAGTGTACGTCCAAAATAAAATACTACACCTATAATGTGATATCTTACCTCCTTGTCAACGAGTAAGAGCTCAACGCTGTCTTTGCAAACATAACTGGCACCGCGGTTTGTGTCATTCAGAAGCTCTTCATCCTAGTAATGACGTCAAACACAATTAGATTCAATAACAATAGCCATAATTAATGAAAAAAAATTGAGTAATCGTATTGCTAAGTATAAAATCTTGAAAATCTATCTTTTGTGGAGATCTTCTGTTGATCTGACTGCAGTCATTATCTTTATCATAATCATCGTCAGTACTAGGCCTATTATTACCACATTATTATTACGATCACTTATACATTTTTATTGGCTTTACCTAAGACTAGCTGGAAAAGCCATTGTTTACTTCTGTTTTTTTTTCTTACATACTTTTTTCCCTTTCTTTTTGCATTGAGTTATTTCGCGCTGCACTTTGGTCATTTTCAATGTCGGCTGTTCCAAAATCTTTCGAAGCATAGACCATATATCAAGGATGTGCCACCAAATATTTAAGTGGGGTATGTATGTGAGGACCAATTAAGGGGATTTTAGGGCAAACACTCTACACCAGATATTTCAATAACTGGACAACTGATTTAGAAAAGTTTAACCAAGTTACAACGAAGAAATTGTCAAGTGTTAGTGACGATCCAGTTTAGAGTGTAAATTTGAGGGTCATTTAAATTTCTGACGTTCCAGACCTAAATATCTGTAAGACCTAATTAATGGGTCAAAACGAAACTTTCTGTAGTAGTTTGTCATAGTCCAATGAAGAAATGATTATTGTTGTGACTATCCGGAGTAGGGTGTGGATATAAAGACCATTCAAAGGAAAATGTACCAGACCCGATATTTCAGAAACGGATCAACTGATCTGCATGAAACTTTCGGGAAAGTTTAACCAAGTTACAAGGAAGATATTATTATGTGTTGGTGACGATCCAGTTTGGATGTTCGAATAAAAAACAAACTATTGAATCATGGCTTCTCTTAGTCTTTTTGGAGTCTGCATATATTATATTATCTAAATATAATCATTGGACCACTTGATAATTTAATTAACTGTCCAAAAAACGGTCCTCATATCCACACCCTACTCCAGATCGTTACAAAAATTGGATCATTTTTTCATTGGACCTTAAAAAACAATTCTGGAAATTTCATTTAGGTCTATTTATAGCTGGGACGTCAGAAATTTAAATTTATTTTGCTGCAATTCCAACCTTACTGCTCATTTAGCAATGAGATAGGCCTATGCATAAAATATTTTTGC